TAGAAGTAATTAGCAGGAGGTGATAGGGGTGGGGGATGGCAGCATGGGGGTGGGAATGGAATGTGGGCACATTGGTCAGTAAAAGATTGGCATGTTAAAGCACAACAAAGCATGGGTTTAAGAGTGAAATGTAATGAATGAATAACTTAAAAGAGAAAAGCTGCAGACAAGAGAACCTGGCTCTCATTAACCAGGTGTGTGACCATGACAAGTAACTTCTTTGGGCTTCGATTTCCTCATATGGGATTTGGAGCATTTGAGACCTTGCTCCCCAGTATATTGTCAGTTTGGCTCAAATAAACTCTTATTAAAAAAAAAAAAAAAAAAAAAAAAAAAAAAAAGAAAGAAAAAGAAAAAAGTCTTGGTTCTACAAATACCCTGTAAATCAAACTCTATTATCAACCTGAGATACTCAGCATGTTGCAAGATTTTATAAATTCTTTTTTTTTAAAATATATTTTATTGATTTTGTACAGAGAGGAAGGGAGAGAGATAGAGAGTTAGGAACATCGATGAGAGAGAGTCATCGATCAGTTGCCTCTTGCACACCCCCTACTGGGGATATGCCCGCAACCAAGGTACATGCCCTTGACCGGAATCGAACCCGGGTCCCTTCAGTCCCCAAGCCGACGCTCTATCCATTGAGCTAAACCGGTCCCGGCAAGATTTTATAAATTCTAAGTTGCATCTCTGTTATATTTTATCATGTTGGTAATCAGGATGTAGCTTTAAAAATTATTGTGATAAGAAAGCATTGTGTTATAGTTTGGCAACTCTTTTTATTTTATTTTATTACTTTTCTAATGGTGCATCAAAATACCACATTTTTCATACTGCACATCAGCATAAGAGATCTTCATTAAGAAGCCCATGTAGCCGGGACCGATTTGGCTCAGTGGATAGAGCGTCGGCCTGCGTACTGAAAGGTCCTGGGTTCGATTTCGGTCAAGGGCATGTACTTGGTTGCGGGCATATCCCCAGTGGGGGGGTGTGCAAGAGGTGGCTGGTCGATGTTTCTCTCTCATCGACGTTTCTAACTCTCTGTCCCTCTCAATTCCTCTCTGTGTAAAATCAATAAAATATATTAAAAAAAAAAAAAAAGAAGCCCATGTAAGCAATTTCCCTAATTTGGTTTGACTATGGAAACTTTCTCTCCTTCCCCTTCCCCTAGGAGGAACAACTTGAGCATTTATTTTCAGAGCCAGTATACATTTTGGGGAATGCTAGAGTAGGTAATCTCATAATCTTCAGTCTAGAGAGTTAATGGAATATTAGACATAAAAGATTTGAATGTGAACTCTAGAGAGATAATAAAAGATTCAGAGTAGTAAAAGAGAGAAAAACTTAATCCATCATTCTTTTTATAATTTCACTGATTTATTAAACAAATACTGTTGTAGTTTTTAAAGTAACTTCTAAGAAACAAAAGGAAAATACATTATTTAGAAAATATCTTTCAGGAAGAAAATTTAAATAGCAATAATTAAAATGGGGAGTTGAATAAATATTTAAATACAACTTATACTTGTTTAGTGCTTCCTCTTGCCCAGGTACATTATGAGGTGCGGGGCATGCAAAGATGACAAAAATATATATGTGCACTGTCCTGTAAGGAGATATTGAATAATTCAAGAAAATCTGAATTCATTTTCTTTAATTATCTGGATAATAAAATTCTTGACTTTTTTTTTCTCTCCAGAATCTACCAGATTTTTCTGGAATGTAGAGACTCAGATTTAGCTGCTTTATTGAATAGCTATTGCAGACTTGTTTTTTGCTCATTGTGCTTAATTCAGGTTTTAAATTTGATTTGGCAACAGTGTAAATATAGAAATTTACAAAGCTTAGCTCGTAGACAATATAAATTTTAGTTTTTCCTAATGAATACGAATGTTATCTATATTAATAATTGAGGGATATGCAAATTGCCTGGGACGCCATAAAAGTAATGACCAAACAGCAGGCTGCTTGGGGTGACAAGAACTGTAGGGGGGTTAGTGAGGAACGACCAAACGACTCAACAGCAGGCTGTATGGGGTGACCAGGTCAGCAGGGTAGGGCAGTTAGATGCAACCAGGCCAGCAGGGGAGGGCAGTTGGGGGTGATCAGGCCTGCAGGGGAGGGTAATTGGGTGTGACCAGGCGTGTAAGGGAGGGCAGTTAGGGGCAACCAGGTCAGCAGGGTAGGGCAGTTAGATGCAACCAGGCCAGCAGGGGAGGGCAGTTGGGGGTGACTAGGCCTCCAGGGAAAGGCAGTTTGGGCCAACTGGGTTGGCAGGGGAGGGCAGTTGGGTGTGATTGGGCTGGCAGGGGAGTAGTTAGGCATCAATCAGGCTGGCAGGGGAACAGTTAGGGGGCAATTAGGCTGGAAGGCAGAAGTAGTTAGGGGCAATCAGGCAGGCAGGCAGGCAAGAGATTAGGAGCCAGCAGTTCTGGATTGTGAGAGGGATGTCTGACTTTGGGCTTAAACAGGCTGTCGAACATCCTCCAAGGGGTCCCAGATTGGAGAGGGTGCAGGCCGGGCTGAGAGCCACCCCTCCCATACATGAATTTCGTGCACAAGGCCTCTAGTATTTAAATAAAATTCTGCATAATAATCTAAGAGAGGGCTCCTTTCCTTCCTTTCTGTGGGTGGTTACCTCTCATCTCCCTTGCAGTCTGTGTTCCCAAGGGGCAGGGGAGAATGGGAAAGAAAGCTATTTTTTGCAAGTCTTTTTGATTGCATGTGAAATGTAGAATGGAAATGAGCCTGTCTGTTTTTAATTTTTTTTTTTTTCTTCTTTTCTGTATGGGCTATGATGTTCTAGAGAAGACCCATACTGGGGGGAAAAAAAATTAAAAACAGGGAACTCCAACTTTGTCAGACGTTTCACATGCAATCAGATAGACTTAGAGTTAAATGACTTTCTCTTTCACTACTGTCATTTGATGATGGAAGTGCCTTTAAAAATTCTCTTTTTACTTAAATGCCTTGCAAGACAGAAAATGTTTTTTTGGATCAAGACATGCTTTAAATATTTTCCTAAACTCTAGGCTTAATGGTCCACAGTAATATAAAAACCTTTGCTCTTGGTATTGGCATTATGTTTTAAATAGTTGATATGTACTCTTTAGTTCTTTTTGATACTTAAAGAATGCTGATAGAAAGACTACTGCACATAAATTAAAACTTTGTTGCACACAAGTCTTAGTAAAAGACAGAAATGTAAAATGTGGTTTCTAAAAGAGTCATTCAGGTGAATGTTTCATCAGGATGAACATAGTGATGGGCAAAATAAGACATTTTGGGGGGGTAGCAATCTGAATCTGTGCCAGTAACCTAATGTACGTTCTTCATAGCCTATAATTAAGTCACTGCCCCCTTTCTCCACAATTTGGTCTTGCAGGACCAGTTTATCTAAATACTCACATTTTACAGAGGCCATAAACCATGAACAATACACAACCCCCGGAGGGAGTCATCAGTGCTGGTGTCAGGCCAGGCCTTTAGGTGTGGTCTCACTGCCCCATCTGAACACATGGGGCTTTTTTGCAAAGCCCGAAAAAGGTCCGTAAGTCCCATCTATATTTGGGGGACAAAGAAACCAAAGGGTATAAAGGGAAAGCTTTCTTCATATTGGTTTGTTCAGGATTTGGAGAGAAACAGTCTCCCCTGAGTCACTGTACTAGTACATGTAAAACACCTGAAAATAAATGGGTTTATCCTGAATTTCCGAGTACTCCTGTGTATTCTTCGGTCGCCTGGTAAATTCTGTAACATAAAAATGGTTTCCCTGACTGAGAAACATGCAGCCGAAGTTGCCCCCTGGAGGTACTGCGGCTGGAGAGCAGGCCGGTGGGCCCACTCCACCGAGCCCCTGATGATGGGAAGGCGCGCCTCCAGTGCTTTACTGGGTTCCAGTCCCCATGGGGCCCGGGCGATCGAGGCCCCCCTGCTAGCGCTCCAGCGGACTCCAAGGAGGACAGGAAAGCTCTTTCTGGAAGCAGATATCTGACAAGTGATTTTCCCCTGGGGGACCAGTCTGAGTTCAGGCCTGCCTTTAGGGGCAGAAGAAGTAGCTGATCACTACTTAGGCAGCTTATTTGCCTCAGTTCAGGCCTTTCCGGACTGACTGGTGTGTGAGTGTGAGTGTGAGAGCCTGGGTGCAGTGGAAGCCGCCTTGTGGTGTCCTGTGTCTCTGTTAACTGGGAGGGGTCACACGGTTTAACCGCAAACATGGGAAGCAGCTCCTTTCGACCTTAGTATGTATGCTAAAGAATAAGAAGGGCCCAGAACACTGCCTGCAATGCAGATGTCTCTCCGAGAAATAGGATGGGAAACGAGAGTGCTCATTGATGTTTTGTGTCTCTTTGTTGTTTAATTTATTTAAAGATGGGGCAAGTCCCGCCTTGGGGGAAGCCCAGTTATGTGTTGTGAGGCTGAACGCATGGCAGAGATTGCAAGATGTCCAAACAGCTGCCAAGAATCCTTATTCTTGGGGCTCATCTTGCTCTTTCTGTCAGGGTAAGGCCTTCAATATTCAGCAAAGCAAAGAAGAAGAGTCTTCTGAATTTACCAAGACTAAAATATCAAATGAAAAAGTACTCCAGGCCAGACCCTGAGGACCTGTTGGGCCAGAAAGTATTATAAATTACATTTTGTCACCAATAGTCATTCTGACATCTCAAGAAAATGCTAACATAAGGTTCACAATTGTAGATCAAGTGACCCAGGGAAGGGCTGGTCAAGAGGGCCAGCAACAGAAGCCACAGCAGTCCCCTTAAATGTCTAAAGAAGAATGCAGCAGTTCAAACCCAAGCGGCTAGGGCCTACTCCCGCTTTGTCTAGCCTCATATGCCTGTACATAATTTTCCAAGGTCTTTAAACAGAAGGCTGTTTAAAGACATTGAAGCACTGCTGGGTTAAATGATAAATATCTAAATATTTTTAAAAAGCTGAAACATTAATTGCTGGACACATTTTAATTTTCCTGCTCTTAGTTTTTATTATAGAAGGTCTCTTGTACTTTGTTGAAGGTATATTTTCTTGAAAGTAAGAGTATGTTTAGAGTGTGTTCATAAATGTTAATCTAAGAAATGCTGGCTGTTTACTTTTTGGTACTCATTGAAAAATTAAGGTTTCTGAGACTGAAGAATTCTAATACATTTTAAAGAAAAAAAGAAAGAAAAGGTCTCTAAAGGTACTGATGGTATGACAGAAAATTAGAGTAGAAATACTTAATGGAAGGTCTAATGCATGGTTACGCATTTTTGAAGGACATAGGAAGAAGGTTTGAAGGCTAATTTGAAAGTGTGAAATTTGTGGAAGTTGTGTATGTGATAAGAAGGAAAAGAGAAATGTTGAAAGAGAAACAAATTTTAAAGCTAACTATTTGCAAGAATTGTAAAAGGGTCATAAAATCTCAGGGAAGTTTAAACAAAGGCTAGACCACTACCCTTATCTCCCCTGCCAAGGACAGAGTAAATTGTTAATACAGAAAGGGAGGGCAGGACAAGGTTGTTGAATACTTACGCAAAACCAGAATATTCAGAAGCGCAATTTTAAGATAGGAGCATTCATAATGCCTCAGACAGCCACCAGCCTGCTCTTCAGATTGGCTGGGGGTGGGATGGCATCTGTACCTCAAGGGTCAAATGTATGAGTATGCTTACTTTACTTTTTCAATAAAGGTGCATACTTTAATTATTTAATAAATTAACTTTTCACAATATAATCAAGGTCTCATATAAACTCATTCATAAGAGAAGCCCATATTTTATGAGCAATTGGTTCCAAAAAAGTCCAAAGTAAAATTTGCATTCATATGCAAATAAGCACTAGTCAAAAAGAAGGCTGTTTAAAAGTAAATTTAAGCTTACTAAAAAGGAGAAATATTAAAATCTCTTTTATTATGTACAAAGTAAACTAAAAATTATTGTGCAAGCATTAAATTTCACTATTAATGAGACACCATAATTAGAAAGAAAGTTACTTTTACTTGACATGTATACATTGCAATATTGGCCTGCATGTCTCTCTCCTATCTGTTTTTCTGAAAGGCAACCAAGTTGGTTCTGTTTAAAAGAAACTAAAAATCTTTAATATAGTGATTTATGGCAAGCCCACAGGAAAAGCAGACTTTAGCAATGCTTACCCAATTAGAAAAGAAAATCCCTAAATGGGCCTTAAAGATTGCTCTGGAAAAAAACATGGAGGGAAATGCCCTTCAAATATCTAGGAACTGTAATTTAAAAAATCAATGTATTAGTCCTTAGAAGGTAGAAATACAAAAAGATTGCCTTTAAGACCTTAAATGACTTTTAGAAATTATTAGAGAACATTTATTAAGACCTTATCTAAAAATCTCTATGGGAAAAATGACAAATTTATTCAGTATACTTAGGAAATCCTAAGGAGTTTTTTTAAAATATGTATATATATATATATATATATATATATATATATATTATTGATTTTTTTACAGAGAGGAAGAGGGAGGGATAGAGAGTTAGAAACATCGATGAGAATCACCCATCAGCTGCCTCTTGCACACCCCCTACTGGGGATGTGCCTGCAACCAAGGTACATGCCCTTGACTGGAATCGAACCTAGAACCTTTCAGTCCCCAGGCCAACACTCTATCCACTGAGCCAAAAAGATTCTTTAGGTTTTGGCCTTATTAAGTGTATGCAAAGACCTACCGAATCATTTTCTAATTTTGTGGCTCGCCTCACTCGAGCAGTGAGAGTGCAAAGTATATCATAAAACAGTAGTTTGCACCATCTAGAAAACTCTGTCTTTCCTAAACCAAGGACACTTAAGATGGGCCTAAAAAGCAAATTTGTATTTTGCCTCCCTAAACAGAGGGTAAATAGCTTATGCTAAAGTACTCAGGGAGACTGATGGGAGAAATCCAGTTAGTGTCATTTGTTGTACACACCCAAGGACAAATGAAATTAGAAAATAAGCCTTATTTTGGTTAGTTCTTTTCTAGTAAAATAATTATGTTATATTAATCAGGCATTTAATAAAAAAAGACCATCTTTTAATCATAGGAACTGAAGTTTGGTGGTCTATGTTTCTAATACACTTTAATATTTAATCTTTTGGTAAATAAATGTTGATAATCCTTCAAAGCTTTGGATTAAAAAAACAAGAACACACAAAAAACATACAAAACTTTCTCTTCATCAAGAATGGGCTTTTGATCATCCCAATAGACCCTGAAATGCTTCAAATGTTTGCTTTCTCTCTCCTGAAGGAAAATTTTATACTGAAGGTACATAAGAATCTTTATCAGATACAGTTATAACTAGTGGTTATTGGTTATAATATTATAGAATGTTAGGTTTTACAGAAAGGGCAACATTCCATGTCATCTGCATTATAACGAAATCCATAACCATGTCATTTTAAGTTTTTTCTTATCATTTGGAGACTGTAACTGTTTTGTTATAATGTATTTGGAAAAATATTACTCTGAAGAGTCCATGGAAAGGACGGGCAAGGAAAACCAGAAGATATTAAAGCAAGTTAGTGTGTTTTTCTCCCTATATTATCCCTCTGAAATTTGGCAATTCTTTTATTTTTATTATTTTTATTTTATAATCACAATATTTTTTTAAATACAATATAATTAAATCTCTATTGTTCAGATTATAACAGGTGTTCTTCTCCCCCCCCACACCCCCATAGCTCCCCTCCACCTGATTCCCCACCCCATCCCATGCCCTTACCCCTTGCCACTGTCTTCATCCATAGGTGTAAGATTTCTGTCCAATCTCTTCCTGCACCCCTCAGATTCCCTTCCCTCTGAGAATTGTCAGTCCATTCCTTTTCTATGTCCCAGATTCTATTATATTCACTAGTCCATTCTGTTCTTCAGATTTTTTTATTCACTTGAGTTTTAGATTCACTTGTTGGTAGGTATGTATTTGATGTCTTTTTGTTGTTCATAGTTTTTACCTTTACCTTTTTTTGTCTTCTTTCTCTTCTTAAAGAATACCCTTCAGCATTTCATGTAATTCTGGTTTGGTGGTGTTGAACTCCTTTAGCTTTTTCTTATCTGTGAAGCTCTTTATCTGACCTTCAATTCTGAATGATAGCTTTGCTGGGTAGAATAATCTTGGTTATAGGTTCTTGCTGTTCATCATTTTGAATATTTCTTGCCACTCCCTTCTGGCCTGCATAGTTTCTGTTGAGAAATCAGCTGACATTCATATGGGTGCTTCCTTGTAGGTAACTAACTGTTTTTCTCTTGCTGCTTGTAAGATTCTCTTGTCTTTTGCCCTTGGCATTTTAATTATGATGTATCATGCTGTGGTCCTCTTTGGATTCTTCTTGTTTGGGGTTCTGTGTGTTTCCTGGTCTTGTAAGTCTATTTCTTTCACCAGGTAGGGAAAGTTTTCTGTCATTATTTCTTTCAATAGGCCTTCAATATCCTGCTCTCTCTCTTCTTCTGGCACCCCAAAAATCTGGATGTTGGTATGCTTAAAGCCATCCTAGAGGCTCCTTACACTGTCCTTACACTTTTGGATTCTTCTTTCTTTCTGACTCTCTGGTTGGGCGTTTTTGGTTTCCTCATATTCCAGATCTTTGGTTTGACTCTTGGGGTATATTGATCTACAGTTGAGTTTCTGTATATTCTTTATTTCAGATAGTGTATGCTTAATTTCTGATTGGTCCTTTTCCATTTTTTTAATTTTTTTTTTATATTCTCATTAAGGTCCTTGAAGGTCTCTTCAAGTTTCTCAGCAATTTTTAGAAGATTCTTGAGTAACCTTATAAATGTGATTCTGAACTCTGTGTCATCCATTAGTTTACTTTCTCCATCTCTCCCATTCATGACATGCTTCTGTGTCTCTGCATTTTGGTTGCCTTCCTGTGTTGATGGAGTGGCTTTGTGTGGTAGGTGACCTATAGGGGGCAGTAACTCAGCTTCCCCAATCACCTGAGGTGGTTGCACCATTTTTGTGGGCTGAGTGCAAAGTCTTAGTGTAGTTATGCCTTGATTGCTGTTGGTACACTGGGAGAAATTGACCTCCAGGCCAATTGGCTGTGAGGACCCGCTGTTCTTTAATGGAAGAACTGCTGTGCTGGAGACACGCTTATGGTGCAGGCCTTGTTTCAGTGGGGCGTTGGTGCTCAATGAGTCCGAATTCTGAATGTGTCATTTATGGATGTGAAGAGTTGCATCTGGTGTCTCACACTGACCATTAGATACACTGGCTTCTGGATCTCCAATGGAGTGCAGTTCAGCTATTGTCTGAGGCCACCATGCAGGAGCTAGAGCTAAAACCACAGTCTTCCCCTCCTTGCTTGGAGCTTGGAGGCTTTGGAGCTATCTGCACCAGGTTTCAAGTTTTCTAGGTTAAACTGCAATAGAGGAGGCCATTCATATGCAAAAGCCGCTGCTTGGAGCTTGGGTGTGTTTGTAGATTGTGCAGGTTAGGGTCTCAGGGCGTCACTAGGCTAGGGTGTGGCAAACAGCGATGGCTGCCAGTCAGCCGTCTTTGCCTCTCTGACCCTGTCCCCTTGTTGTGCCCCAGCACAGCAAACAATTATCCTTGCACGCAGCTCTGCAAGCAAGCTACCCTCACTTTCCGACCCGATGGCCGACAGTCCAGCTTCTTTCCAGAAACTGGATTTCAGAGAGATTGGGAGCTTGTCTCTCTTAGGGTTGAAGAAAGCATCGCCCTCTGCCAGCTGGGATCCGCCACAAGCCCGCATAGCGCGCGTGCCCCAGTACCTCAGTGTTTCAGTACCTCATTGTGCCCTGAGTGCTCCTTTCTCTTTCAGTCTGGTTGTAGAGCTTCCACTCAGCCAGCTTTGCTGTGGTTCTGGGCGATAGATGTTTTGTCTTTTAGTTGTAGTTTTGAAATTGTTGTGCACAGCAGCAGTTTGAGTGTGTTTACCTAGGTCACCATCTTGGATCCTGCCTGAAATTTGGCAGTTCTTAATGAATGAATCATGGCAATGCATTCCTATACATAAATTCAATAAGACCCATTCCAATGGTGGTTTTATTGACCAAAAACTTTGACTGTCATGTTTTAAAGTGTCTTGTCTGGATTCTGAAGACTTGAAGCCAGTAAGAGTGCCTTGGAGAAAGCCTGGTAAATTCTGTAATAGTAGCAGCAAAGCTTTCAATTGTCTCCTCTTAAGAAAATCATGCAGCCTCACAAAGGAGAACTTTCTATTAAGTGGTAGAATTTTAAGTCATTAATAGGCTTTAGATGTCATGGGAAATATAATTACTCCCATTGATTTATAGTGAGAAAATGTTTGTACAATTACCCCTTAATTTTAAAACTGACTTATTTACCACCTCCCCAATTTCTCTTCTAACAAATCCGAATATACATTTTATCCTGGCTCATTTTTTGCCTTGTTAAGTTAGCTGATGGATACCTCTTACATGAAAGATGCTGCTCCCTTTCATTAGGATAAAGTACTTCCCAACTTGATACTACACATCTGATCACACTGTATCTCTCAGCTAGCCTAGATGGAATTTTGTTCCATGTTTGAATTTTCTCTGGCCCTCTGACCTTGTAGATGCTGTTTCTGCAAATTGAGATTTCCATATCCCAATTATAACTGGACAGAGTCAAGCTAGGTGGGCAGAGTTTAAGAGTGTTAATGTCTTTTTTCTAATTCTCTCTACACTAAATTTTGCAAGAACTTTGGCTATAAGACTGCACATTGTATTGGTTGTTTCTTTTCTTCCTGCTAGAGTATGTACTCTTCTAGGGCAAGGACCCTGGCTTGTTTTTCAACTTTTCAGTGCTCATCACAGATCTTGATTGATTGTCAATATCCAATAAATAGTTGTAGAAAGTATTAGTTAATATTAGGCTCAACCATTTATATCTTCAAAGAATTAGTAACCTTGGAAAATAAGACAGAAATAACCAAAGACATTTGAGGATAATTTGAAAATGCTACATTAGTTTGTATAAATGGTACCTTGCAGAGTAAATACACTAATACCAAGGGTCTACAGATGAAAGGTGTGAATAGTATAGGGGTGAATTTATCAGGTTATTTAGTTAGAAGGAAAACTTGCTATAAATATTTCTGTTTATCTAATCAAACCTTAAGGATGCAAACCAGAGGACCAATCCTGTCATTCAACTATTCACCACAGAAACATAGAATCTTGTTTAATTCAAGAAGTTTAACATGGTGGGTTGCCTTGATCTATAACAATAAAAGTGTAATATGCTAATTAGACAGCATGTTTTTCCGGACGACCTTCTGATGACCTTTTGGGCGAATCTGGGGCAAGTAGGAAAGCCCTGGTCCTGGGTGCCTGCTGGTGGCCAGAGGGAAGCCCTGGTCCCAAATGCCAGAGGGAGGCCAGTGCCAGCAGCTGGGGGAAGGAAAGCCTACTCTTGCACAAATTTTGTGCATCAGACCTCTAGTTTGCTTATAGTATCCAATGATGTTAATTAGAACTCTATACATGTATCAGTGGAATGTTACTGAAACTGATCTGTAGAACTGTTTTAGGTGAAATAATAGAAAAATGGCCAAAAGACATTAAACGTGATTATTACTATGACAAAGATTTGATTTTTCTCACATATAGAAAAGAAAAATACCGTAAAAAGAAAGTTGTTTTCTGACTTGGAGTTTTATTTTCTTTGTGTTATCTTTTGAACTTGGAAAAAAGATGAAACTAAACTGAATCTGTAGGTGAAAATTAAAAATATTTTTAAAAAGTGGAAGCTAAGTTTAGGTACTAATTTTTTGCTCTCTTCAGTTATACATGTTCCCTGCCATCACCTACAAGATTACTCTGAAGGGAGAGTTATTGAAGTAATTCAGAAGGGTGAAGGCATTGTTTGGCCAAAAGATTTTGCTTTTTAGGCCCATCAAAAATTCAATACATAGCCCAGCAGGTGTGGCTCAGTAGTTGAGCATCGACCCAGGAACTAAGAGGAGGTTACCGGTTTGGTTTGATTCCCGGTCAAGGCACATGCCAGGGTTGCGGGCTCAATCCCCAGTAGGGAATGTGCAGGAGGCAGCTGATCAATGATGTTTCTCGTTGATGCTTCTATCTCTCTATTCCTCTCCATTCCTCTCTGAAAAATCAATAAAAACATATTTAAAAAATTCAACACATAAAAAACATCTATTGAATATCTTCTTACACATGACTTCAGATTGGAAACGATGATCTAGAATGGAAGAGAGTAGACTAGCAGAGCCTGCACTCTGGCTTCTGTTCAAAGTTCAGCCGGACAGATACTCTCTGAGGGCTATTTTGAGTATGGCACTTTGCTGAAAGGATATTCACTGAGATTTCTCTTGGAAGTAAAAAAAGGTAATATGAGACACTTTTTGTAGTAAGATATGCAATTGTAAATTTCCTGGTTTAAACACATATTCTTTGCATATTTAAATTGTCTATCATTCATTCAGATTCAGATTTTAGCACTTGTATTGTAGTTACCTGTCTCTACCACTGGAGTATAAACTTCTTTGCATATTGATCTCTTGCATTGGCCATTTCTACATGTGTTCAGAAAGCACTTCCTTCAGATATCAGCACAGCTAACTTTCTCTCTTGCTTCAGGCTTTGCTCAAATGCTACCTTCTCAGTGAGACCTACCTTGACCACTCTATTTAAGACCACAGCTCTTACTTTTAGCACTTAGTCTCTGTGCTCTACTTAATTTTGCTTTCCCCCTTCATATACTTGTCACCCACCTTCTAACAGGCTATATAATTTACTTATTTTTCATTATGTTTTGCTGGCTACCTTTACTCCTGCTGTCTCTATGGGAGCTTTATGAAAGTAGGATCTTAATTTTGTTCACGGGTATATTCCAAGCACTTAGAATAATGCCAGTATATTGTAGGTGCTCAATAAATAATTAATGAGTGAATGAGTATATTTTACTTAGTACAGTGCCTGACATTCTATAAACAATGTTTTTATCACTAAAAAAAAAAAAAAAAAAAAAAAGTAAGAAAAAATGTTGAATCAATGGTCTTCAAGGTAAGCCCTGCAGCCCTAATTTCATGGCAACGTAAGCGCAGTAAGCGTCATGACATTTTAGATTGTATGCTAATCTTAGGAGTGTTTCCCCTACATAGGTCTACGCAGAAAAAAATCAGAACTGGTTATGCTTCTATAAGCTTCTCCTGTGCTTTGCAGTTTAAAAAAGCCTTTATTGAATCACTGGCATGTAAAACAAACAAACAAACAAACAAACAAACACAAAAAATGGTTAATGGAATATTATTTTATATGATACTTCATAAATGGACTAGATATGGCTTTATAAGTGCCCACTTACTTAGAAATTCTTAACATTGCATATATGGAATAAAATTTTGTGCAGATTCCCAATCTGAAATTTATTTGTTAAAATAACCGACTGAAATTTATTTGTTAAAATGAAAGTGTATTATTTTAAAATATAGTTTTATTTTAAAATTCATCATGAATTTTACTGATTTAATCTAGTAAACTTAAAACAAGATAGTCTTATCTACTAATCATTTATTGGGAAAATACTAGTTTCATTTTTTTTTTTCTTCTGATCCTAGAAGCAAAATTAAAGTTATGGGATCTTTAGGTTTTGTTTTGATTTTTCACACTGAAATATAAGATTTATGACTTTAAAGTGCTTTAAGATTGAGGTAACAGATCTGATTTACTTCTTAACAGGAAGTTAAAAAGCCTTTCAACATTTTATAGACTTTGTGAGAATCACGTTTGAACCTTGTCATTGACCCTGTGCTGCAGGAATGAACACGGAAAACAGACGTTAGCTAATAGACAAATGTATTTATTTTTCCTGGATATTTTGTACTGTGGTGATTATAACTTTTCTTCCTTATTATCTTAAATTGTCAGTAACAGTTTTTAAGCTGAAAGTCATTGCATAATTAAAGAAATAAGTTGCAACATATTTTTTCCTCACAGAAAATATAATGACCATGGGCTTTGCAGTCAGATAGCACTGGGCTTGAAGATATACCTAATATTTGCTTTTTGTCTTTAGGAAGTTATATTAAACCTCTGAACCTCAGTTTCTGTGTCTGTAAAATAGGAATGACATCTGCCTCCTATAATTATTGAGAAGATTAAATGGGTTCATGTAAAAGTGCTTAGAAATGTGCCTGGCACATAGTAGGTACTGTTTCAGTTATCTTCTTTCAATTCCTATTTTAAACATTTTCAATGATAACTTGAGCAAAATACTGTTCTGAGGGAATTAGTATAGAAAACTAATTACTACAATAGTAAACTATTGCAGCACACTGAAATACTACCTGACCTGGCTCCCTTTTAAAATATAGTTTTCACTGCAGGATTTACTATAATCAGAATGATAACGCGATGCTGCATTTGTTCACTGTTTACTAAGTGGTACTGTACTCCTTAGAGCAGACCTGTGAGGGTGGTAATACAAAGTCAGAGACTGCCTTGCTACTGTCACATGTCTGAGAAGTAGGCCGAGCCAGAACATGGACTCTTGCTGTAAGTTTATTACTCCTTAGCAAAGGCTTCCCATTGGAGCTTCAAGACAATATTGCCTTTAGACAACAACATGGAACAAGCCTTAATATAAAAAGAGGCTTTGGGCACATTTCAGTAAATAAATGCCCTTAGTGTGGGTCCACAATGGATCTTATCTATACCACAGTTACTCTATAGAGAATGGTATTGTGATTAGATATATGAGTGGCAGTATTGCCCCTCAAATACACTTTGTGTTATATGTAGACACACATACTTCTGCCTTCAAAGTACTCTATTAAACATTTAAATAAAGGGAAAAATCTTTTCATAACATATTTCTAAGCCAATTTAGAGGTTATTGAGCAGATGTCACATAATAGTAATGTTAAATTACCCTGTGTAATAAGAAAATTATAGTACCTAAATGAAGATAGTAAAGGGAAACCATCAAATGAATTATTCTAGAATTTCAAAATGAAATGATTTCTTCAAAATTAACAGTGGCACCACATGACTTTAGGAAAGTGAGTCTGATAGGAAGAAGGAAATCAGAGACAAAATCGAAGGCTTTCTTTGTTTATACAGAGTAGGACAAAAATAGGTTTACAGTTGTTTGTATGGGAAATAACACAATAATGAATGAATAATACAAGAATAAACTGTTTCATGTACTCACAACTGTAAACCTACTTTTGCTCTGACCTGTATATGCCAATTTTTGGTTGTGATTCTAAAGAACTAATGTAATAGTATAGCTTTCAGTTGCCCTGGAAGTATTTTTATTGTTAAACCATGTGACAAGAAATTTATTAAAATCTGACTAACTTCTCATTGAGTTGTTTCATATAAAATCACAATAGTTGTTTCTAGTTGACATATACTTCCTTTTGCTATTAGGTACATTTTCACAGCCTAATTATTTTGAGAACATAGTATGACCAAAGAATAAAAATGTACAAAGTTGACAACTTTAAATAAGCACTAGCCTTTCTTAAAGAACAAACCTCACTTACAGTTAGGAAACAATATTTATATTTAAGGTTGAAAAGCCAGGATGTAGGAAAATTTTGCTAATTTGGAAGATGACCTTTAAGGGCACCAAAACCAAATAATTTGTAGGCTATGACATAGGGCACATTCCTACAAAATTTGTGTGAATACTGCTTTAGTGGTTCTTGAAAGACAAACAAAGAAAGCTGGAATGAAATCTCTATCCCCCTCCCAAATAAGACGGAGACTAACAAAAGGTACAGCAGTACTCTTTCAAAGCTCGCTGTTAAAATGAGGTCTCTGCAGCACAGTTAATGAGATGGTTCATAGTGGAAAATAATCTGTTTTTAACAATGTTTAGATCAAAAGTAATTTCTAATCTATGAGCTAAAGTCTCTTCAATACCCTTCATTCACTAGTAAAGCTTTTATGTTTGTATTATTTACTTCAATCAGATGTTTTCAATTTTACCTTTTCTCCTTCTACAAATACTTGACATGGTTCATCAATACTGACCAACAGTTTTATTCTTTAGAAAAGAGAGATTTTTGAGAGAGGGGAATGAAAAAGAGAGAAACATCTTTGCCTAAACGATTTGCAAGCATCTGTGCTTTAAGCTACTTTTTATGAACACTCCTTCGTAAATGACTCAAGGTAAAAAAGCAGAAAAGCATCCAATGTTAGGAAATTGCAATCCAATACCATGTAATTTAAACCTGCAGTTGCTTCTCTTGTACTAAATGACATACAGATGGGTAGCTTAGTTCTCTCAACTTTGGGAACACAATTGGTCTTTTTGTATGAATGAACATATATTAGCAAAAATATTTTGGACAGAATTGTTTAATTCTAATTGTACAGATTTTAACTATGCATGCCATTGGGAAGAATAATTTCAACCAAGATATTTTGTTGTGTTAAATTTGCAATTAATTATATATATTTTTGGAACAAAATCAACAGAGATACAGCCTTTACCAAAAACAGAGAAATAAAAAGATAAGGTCTAAGAAGTCTATAGTGAATTGAACAGAAAGGGGCCTATCACAGTCAATTGCTTATTTAATTTAAGAAAGAGCAGTTCTGTATTCAAGCTGTGGAGAGGTCTGTTCTGACAGGACAAACATTTCTCAGGGAAACATTTCTATCTACGTCTTGGAACGTATTAACAGTGTAAGAAGTAGGTGTTTGTATTAAAGCCTAGTGTAATATGGGGGGGTGGGCCCAGTGAGAGGAGAGACCATCTCGCCATTAACGATAGGCCAGCTCTTCCTAAGGATCTTTCCAGGCCAGCGCAGGGCCAACCGCTGTGTGTAAGGTCAGGAAAGGCGCTGTTTGACAACCCCCCCCCCCCCCCCCCCCCCCCGCCCCCCGGCCTGCTCCAAGGTGTACTTTTTTTTTTTTTTTCCCCCCCTGCCTCTGGTTTGCTCTTTTCCTGCCTCCATATTTTCTCCTAGAGAACCAATTCCTCTGCCTTGGTGGCCCTGAGTCTGGAAGCTGATATCCTCCTTCCATCCCACTATCAGGGTAACTGGTTAGTTTTCTAATTTCAGGGAACTCACATACTGTGAACATTAGGCGCCTTAAAAGTAAAAGAAGTATAAAGCATTTCTACACCTAAATCATATGCCTTAATATTTCAAAAGACGTTGAGTTTAATATTCAGGAAACTAAGCAAGCCTCCTTTTAGTGATTTCAAAACATGACAAGAAATGTTTGCAGGTAGGGCCATCTGCGAGCCTCCTCCCCCCTGTGATGGATGGCAAAGAAAAGCACTTTTACTGCAGCCAGGAAGGTTGCCTTGTCCTGGAGTTATATTTCTTTTCACTCGTTTGTGCAGGTAAAATAAAATACTACATACAAACAGGTGTTGTCTGAACATTTTACTGCAGTCTGTATAGGTTGAAATAAAAGCAGCCATTGTTATTAGAATCACATTAAAATTATTTCACCCTTCAAATACACTTAATCAGTGAAGTGTTCCTAGATATACTTTGCAAGAAGAAAATGTAGGTCTCTCAATAAAATTGCATTCACGATTCCTCTTCTCTTCGGCTTTCGTCCTCCCCTATTTTAAAAAAATTTTTTTTATCACCCTCCCTCTGGAACTTGGTGAGTCTGCATTAGTGTAAATGTCTTCTCCTGGGGTCTATGAAAAGTTTCTTGCTGCCTGTTTAACATGGTATAAGACACAGTCTTTAAAAAAACATTTGTTTTTGAGAACTCTATAGAACCTAGTGAAGTATCTAACAGAATCACAGAGAACAACAATTCCTAGTCATATATATATATATATATATATATATATATATATATATATATATATTTTTTTTTTTTTTTTTAAATAACATGGTATTTAAATTACCCAGAATGTAAAATGAATGATAAAGCTGCTATCTACTAAAACCTAACATGATTGAATAGAGAATTATTGTGTAATAATATGCTCATCACCTTATATAAACAGTGTAAATAGAATTATACTTTTCAAATTTTCTATTTGAAAAAAAGAAAAGAATTTCAAGGTATTGGGAGGCAGAAAGGATGTACTCCCATCTTGTGAGTGTTCAGTGAGTTTTTACTGTCATGTCGCAATTGATACAGCACCTTGTGCTCTAGTGCAACTACCTGAATCTTGAGAAATGTTTTGTTTGTTTGTTTGTTTTGTTTTAGAGAAATAATCAGCTGCAGTTCAGGTAAATTGGTGCCTTAGAAACTGATCTGGTCATTGACAAGTGACTGCAGAAGCTGTGCTGTGGAGACCAGCCAAAGCAATTATGTAGGATTCAAGCTAAAAAGTCTCCTCCTTTCTCTTTCCAGGGTCATGTAGGGATAAAAAGAACTGTAAGGTGGCCTTTTCCCAGCAGGAACTGAGGAAGCGGCTGACACCCATGCAGTATCATGTCACCCAGGAGAAAGGGACCGAAAGGTAAGGCGGAATGTAAGAAAAAGCCATTAAGCGAAAGCCAGTTTTCTTCGCTTCCCTCCACCCCGCCCCCTCTGCCTTTGAATCCTCTTCCTTGACATTTAAAGGATTCCACACTTATTTGCTAAAGACTACAAATTAGGATCCTTGAAAAGGTTTGAAAATGGTATTGTTTAGGTTAAGACTAAGTTTTATTTATTCTTTCCCCCATTTAATGAACACTCTATCTTATGTAAAGTCACAAGGCTTTTATTAAGGGCCTGTTTTTAGTTTACTACAAAATGTGTGGAAGTAATAGCGATTTAGGTACATTTTTTGGGAAGACATCACAGTAAGCAAAACCATGAGGGACATGGCACTATGCCAGAATGCTGAAATTTTGAAGGTGGCCATTGTAAGTATAGACGTTTTGGCTGCAAAAAGAAGGTAGCATAATTTAGTTCCTTTCTACCCCACTCCAATTTCTTTTTGAAGCACATGTGGAGAAAGTATTTATTGGCTCATTTGTGGTTGGAATGTCAAAAATTTTCAATAACTGCCCTCACATGGCTTTGGTCCTTGGAAGTTCGCCCTAAGTCCTGAAAAAAGCGTCTGTTCACTTCCAAGACTCTTTTTAGTGAATAAAGTCTCTCTCAGCTGATTCCAGCTCAAAGGTAACTTGCCAAGATCCAACCATTTTGTTGTCTAATTTATACCATGGAGCTTGGCATAAGGCCGTAACTTACCTCTGATCCGAATTTATTAATTATGTAACTTCTTGTTTTCATTCATGAGCTGAAAGAGCTCTTTACCACACATGGGGTTCTTGTTAATAGGCAACACTCTCTTCCTGTCACAGTGGATACTGTTTACTGAATTTACCAAGTGTTGAATCCCTGACGAAGTCCACTCTCACTGCACAATGAGTTAGCGGCGGACGTCCGCCCGGGAGGACCTCTACCCGTCCTGTTGTGTACATGACTAGCAAAATGATTTAATGCACACAAACAACTAGAGATTAGGTCATTCTTAAAAATTCTGTTTATAAAAAAAATTGGACCTCATAAAGAGGGTGAAAGGATAATAAAAACAAGCTGCAGAGCACATAGACTTTTTGTTGGGCTAGCACAGCTGATTTGTATTAGCTGAATGACCTCCTAGCCTTTAAGATTGTTAACTTAGAAAAATATTCCCTTAAAGCTGCAATATTCCTTTTCAAACCAGAAAACAAGACTCCTTCCACTTGAAGTCTTTGGATCTTTCTGCATTTTCTGATGTATACTCTTGGACACTGCAGAGTAGCAGAAATCTTATGTAATAATGCTGTCTTTTTTCCTGCAAATCTGAACTAGGCTTTTTTTTTTAAATAGGATTCCCCACCCCCCCCTGCCCCACCGCCCCACCGCAAGCATTACGTAACTACACGGCTTATTTTTTTATTTTTATTTTTTTTATTTAACCTAGACTAGTTTGGAGTAGTTATATGCACATTTTATTATATAGATTTGAAATATATTAGTGGTGTTCAGATTTCCTTATGTTTGGTCTGTTCTCATTACAGGACAAAAAGCCCTTAGAGAAATATATTTTAAATAAATACATTCTGTAAGAAATAATACTAATTTTACTCAATTTTTTAAATGTTCTGTTTGTTGTTTATCAGTGCCTTTGAAGGAGAATATACTCATCACAAAGATCCTGGAATATATAAATGTGTTGTCTGTGGAACTCCATTGTTCAAGTAAGTATGTTACAAATCTTTGGCTTCGGGCATATCACAAATGGCAATAAACTAGTTAGTGCTTGTTCATATTAGAATCTTTACACTACTAGATTTTCATATTTCTGTTTCCCTCCCACAAAATAAAAGTAATTTTTGATTTTGCACTATTTGTATTTTTCAAATACTCAACATTAGCTTGTTCATTGTAGTAAACACAGTGCTTAGGAAAGCTATAAAAGATTTTGGCGAGCTTAAAAATATTTCTGTATTTATTGAATTTTTCTATCAAGTAATGGCCCTACATTTATTTATTGGACCATAATGAAAGTTCCTTCATGTGTATTCTTCAAATGGGATAGTATCTACCAAGTTGATTATCCATATTTCTTCAATGAAGGGCAATACCTGCATTGAAAGTAACATGGGAATTATAACAGATACTTGTACATATATAAACAAATTGCATAATATGAGTTTAACAGTTTTTGTATTGATCCAAAATCTTTAAAGATCTCAATAGTTTACTATCAAATAGGCAGTGCATAGACTTTTCCACAAAATAGTTAAATCAGACAGTGTATTCTGGAGATTATAAGTTTTATTCAAGAAAGGAAAATTCTTACCAATAATGTATTTATCGAGGAGGAAAAAATCCTAGAAGCCCTGTGTTTCCTGTGGGATGCTGATTTGGGAAAATAAAAAGGCAGAAACCTTAATTGAGAGTAAATGTCATGTATTTAAGACAGAATTACAAATTTTTTAGGGGAAATGTACAAACAAGACTCTAATATGTGTAGCATGTAAAACATAATATTTCTCCATAAATGTTTACCGTTTAAAGCACTAATATTAACAAATTTTTAAAGAAATAACAGGAAACAATTTCTTTGAAAAATTATTTTTCAAAGTTTCAAACCCTTGTTAGCTTGCATAAACCTTTTTGCACATTAGTTTTGGTTGAGAATCTGTTCTGATTTCTTAAGTATTTATTCTTTATGTTGAAAACCCAGCCTTTCAAATTGTCACCCATTTTCTCTTAGAAAACATACATGCTTGTATTTCAACACCTCTAATGTGTGTCATAATAGTTGATATAACACTTAAGATAGTTGCTGAGCCATGTTAAACTTGTTAAATCCCAAAAGGTAAAAATTGGCCACATCCCCTTTGCTTTTTGTTTATGATTCTCTACCTCTTTAAATCATGTGATTCAATGAAGTAATGAATCTGAGGAAAACTTACTCTTTTAAATAAAAAGTAGAACCATTGTGAATGAAGGATTTAACCCAAGTGAAAATTTGAATCACAAAAAAAAACAAAAAGGAAGAACCTTATCCAAACATAGGTACTGGCAGGGGTTAAGAAGTTTCACATTTGATGGGCTAGTGCCTCTGTTTCCTTTAGCATTCTTGGAAGGAAAGCTTTGATGAGCTAAGTTTTTATGGAATATGGTTTCATCTTGTTATTCTACTTTATTTTATTTATTTATTTTTTTAAAATATATTTTTATTGATTTTGTACAGAGAGGAAGGGAGAGAGATAGAGAGTTAGAAACATCGATGAGAGAGAGTCATCGATCAGCTGCCTCTTGCACACCCCCTACTGGGGATATGCCCGCAACCAAGGTACATGCCCTTGACCAGAATCGAACCCAGGACCTTTCACTCTGCAGGCCGATGCTCTATCCACTGAGCCAAACCGGTTTCGACTTGTTATTCTACTTTAAAAAAACATTGTCCTAATTTGGTTTCCTGTCCATTTTAGGGGGGAAATATACCTGTGTTAGCTTCTACTGTAAAATGGTAGTTTATTGATTTAGTGTTTATATCTTCCTATCAGAGAACTTTCCAGGGACCACAGGGCAAGGGCAGTTTTGAGGGAACCAATTTTCTGGTCCTCAGGTTCTGTATGTACACTCTCCTGAAACTGGTGTGTCTGAGAGTCTTTGGTTGGCCATTTCTTCCTTCCTATCTCCTTGATCATAATCAGCCTTCTCCCACTTCACAAAAGGTCTCTTACTGTGATTTATATTCCCAGGGTAAAGTATCTAAGGCATAAAGCATTAATTCTGAACAGCATTAATTCTGAAGGAGAGACCCATGAAAGCAAGGCAAGAAAATATTGAAAAATACTGAACTGGTAAAAAATTATTGAAATATTATTTAGTCTTGGCAAGGCTCAGGCTGCCCGCCTGCTTATCTGCTCATTTATCTCTCCATCTGTTGTTTGCATCTCCATTTCCTACTAGTCTACTTAAATAAGATGGTTGTTGTGAGAATGTGTATCAGCATATTTATATACTTATTCAGATATAAAAAAAAAAAGTAAGTCTTTTCTTGGAACAGATCATAAGCCTGATTTGATTGATAGATATGACAGATAGGACTGCCTTAGCAAATTAGGTTATATTGTGGCCTTCTTCATTCATTATAAATAGCTTTAAGGTTTTATTTATTTATTTATTTATTTATTTTATTATTATTTTTTTAATCAATCTTTATTGTTCATATTGTTACAAAGTTTCCTCATTTCTTCCCCCCTCCACCAGGTTCCCACCCCACCCTCCGCCCCCTCCCCATCCCCCAATGTCCTCATCCATAGGTGCAGTTTATGTTCAGTCTCTTCCTCCCTCCCTTTCCCCAATAGTAAATCCCTTTTCAGATAGTAAATCAGTTACTTAGCATTTTCTCATATCAATAATACCACCACATGCCCAATGATACATTTCACACAAAAGACATTTCCAAATAGGTCAACCAGCCTCATCCAGGCCCCACCCAAGGCACTCACAGATCAACACAGATCAGTACCCCAGCCCTATATTAACTCAACACATCCAGATCTAAGCCTTCATCACTTGATTCAGCAGACCCTCAAGTTCCCACAAAAGTTTCCAGCCATGTCTGAGAGACAGCCGTGGGGCAGGGGCAGGCGAGGAGCGAGCTGTTCCGGGCCTGGCTGCTCCGGGCCTGGCCTCTGTTGCTCTGGTTCGTTCCACAACCAGCTGCTCCGGGTCTGGTCACCGCTGCTCCCGACCTAGTTGCTCTGGACCTGGCTGCTGCTGCTCCGGGCCTGGCCGCACCCGACCTGGTTGCTCTGGGCCCGGCTGCTCCGGGCCCGGCCGCTCCGGGCCTGGCCGCACCAGACCCGGCTGCTCCGGGCCTGGCTGCTTCTAGCCCGGCAGCCGTTGCTCCGGGCCTGGCTGCTCCCAGCCTGGCAGCTGCTGCTCCGGGCCTGGCCACACCAGACCCAGCTGCTCCGGGCCTGGCTGCTCCCAGCCTGGCAGCTGCTGCTCCGGGCCTGGCCACACCAGACCCTGCTGCTCCGGGCCTGGTCGCTCCCAGCCTGGCAGCCGCGGCTCCGGGCCTGGCCGCACCAGACCCGGCTGCTCTGGGCCCAGCTGCCCCGGGCCTGGCTGCTCCGAGTCTGGCTGCTCCCAGCCTGGATGCTCTGGGCTTGGCTATTGCTATTCTGGGTCTGGCTGCTCCCAACCCGGCTGCTCTGGGCCCGGCTTCTCCGGGCCCGGCCACTCCGGGCCTGGGTGTTCCTGGACTGGCCACCCTGGGCTTGGCCGCCTCCGCCTCAGGCCTGGCTGCCACTGCCCCAGGTCTGGCTGCTCCAGTGCTGGCTGTTGTTGCTCTGGTTCTGGCTGCTGCTGCTCTGGGGCCTGGCCATTGCTGCTCCGGGCCCGGTTGCCACTGCTTTGTACCTGGGCACTCTAGGCCTGACCGCCGCTGTTCCAACATTCTGTCCTTTTTTTTTTTTTTTTTTTTAAAAAAAAACGCATTTATGTTGCAATGTTGGCTGGTGAGTTGAGTTTTGACTTAGTCTTTGATTTTTCAAGATCTTCTTTGTATTCTTTCTTAAGTAATTTTACTATCTTTTGCTCTCACTTGATTTCTTCACATTGAGAACTTTGTTTCTTCCTCCTTGTACTGGGAGCTCAGCAGGTTGGCCTGTGGCACCCCTTTGTTCTCCGCGGGCTCCTGCACTGCTTCAGTCTGTTGCCGGGGTCGGCGCCGCCTAGGAAGCAGCCCCCGGCCTTGGCTCCGTTGCCCGCGCTCAGAGGTCGAAGGCTCAGGGGCACCCCCCCCCCCGGGGCCCCGTCACCTGGTTCCCTGCCGGCACCCGGCTGGCTGGTGTCCGGCAGGGGCTCCTGCTCCTTGTCGCGTTCCTCCAGTCTGGAGCTTTTTTTTCTCCTTCCCGGTAGGGGAGTCTAGGATCAGAGTCAACAGACTGTCCTCTGCGTGCAGTGCGCGCGACTCTGGGGGCTCCGCTTTTCGCCCCTCCCCCAGGACTCCACCTCACAGCCCCTTCTCCCCCTGCCCGAGCCTGGGTCCCCACGGTCTGGCCCATAACTGGGGCTCAGCGCTGCCGGTTCGGGGGTTTAGCCCAGGCTGGGGGTTTTATTTCCTTCCTGCTAGGGAACGCCAGGCAGCACCCAGCCCTCTCCTCCTCTCCGGCTGCGACCTCTCAGCGCGCGAGCGTGCGCGTGCGTGCGAGCGTGCAGCATGTCTCCGTACCTTAGGCTTTTTTTCAGCTCCTCTGATTTTCCTTCTGGTTTTCTCTTTCCTTCTTGTAGAATTTTCAGTCAGTCAACTACCTGTAGCTCTGGGCGATGTCCACTCTACATTTTAGTTGTATTCCATTGAAATTGTTGTGTGCTGCTGCGGTTAGGTGTCTACCCGAGCAGCCATCTTGGATCCTCCTGTTTTTGTTCTTGAAATGTGTTTTTATTGATTTCAGAGAGGATGGGATGAGAGAGAGATAGAAACATCAATGATGAGAGAGAATCATTGATTGGCTGACTCCTGCGTTTCCCCTACTGGGGATTGAGCCCGCAATCTGGGTATGTACCCTGACCGGGAATTGAACTGTGACCTCTTCGTTCACAGATTGATGCCTAACCACTGAGTGACACTGGCTGGGCAGCTCTAAAGTTTTGAAAAAAATATTTTAAGCATGTAATTTATATATAAAACATCAGAAAATTCATCTTTCTCAGTTATTTAAAGTTT